GCCTGCACTTAGAACGCGCAGGTGAAATCTCCAAAGCCTACCAAATAGAACATTTTTCAGTTGAACAACACGATATCTTGGCTTTACAAGAAAAGTGGCTTAGTAATGAATACGAATTCAAACCCCGGGATTTGCTGTTTATCGCCGACACTGCGGTGGCAGGCCATGTGGCGGCTTAACGATCGCGCTGCGCCGCGAACTGCCGCAGCTCGAAGCCGAAATCTCTGCAAAGTCTCTGGCGTCTTTAGAGGCAGTCGTTTGGATGGGAAACTGTCGTATCCGACTACTGCTCCGCTTAAACCTTACATCCGGTTGGAATTGATGTGCTTCTCGCATTAAATTCCAAACCTGTCCTTCTGGGCGACTTTAATGCCAGACATAGAATTTGGGGCGGCCTTGGAGCAAACAGAAACAGCAACAAAATTGCCAATCTTGTAGCGAGAAAGCGGAGATACGTAACAGGCACCCGGGTGTTATTAATTTTATGATTGTGAAAGGCGTTGAGTGTGTGGTTATCCGCTCAATCGCCACACTGGATTCCGATCATAATCCAGTAACATGCGTTGTAGCGTCTCTTGTAGCGAAACGCCAAGATGGACTTCGAACTACCCGTGACACGAGCAGGGTAGGTTTCGCAACACAGTTGAATTCTCAGCTTGAGCAAAAACCAGTAAATACGAAAGCTGAAATTGACAAAGCAGTGAAACACTTCACTGTGACGTTGAAATCGGGTTTCAAACAAAATACAAATGTCACGGGAGTAGAGAATTCTCGCCCCAGCGCATAGATGAGCAAAGAAGGATATTAAGAGAACTGCTTAGAACTGTCAAATTTCATCGCTTCTACGGCGATCCCGTTGAAGGAGAGCGGGCGCGCAGTTTAAGCAGAGAATTCCGTTCATCTCTACGAGGTGAGAGAGCTGCTCCGTGGTCTGATATAATTTGCAAAATGCAACCTCCACGAGAGGCAAATTTGGGATCTTTCTCGTGTGCAAACCGGGAGTAAACAGCCCGATCCAGAGCAACGCCTGGACGGAGGCGCTCAGTGTTCTGCCACCTCGGCTCGTTTACACGTGGGACGACGCAACAAAAAGTAAAATCTTCGCGAATTCGCTTGCGTTGCAGTTCCGCGCGTTCGAAACGGGCGCCGCTTCGCTGCTATCGTCCGCCACCGCTGCAGGTGGTACGCCAATAGCGAGAGCGATCAGCTGCAACGCAATTAGCCTGTTGCCCCCTCTCTCCACGGCGCGCCGAGTGACGGGAGGGGAGCTTCGAGCTGCGCTCAGTATCGTCAATACGAGGAAGGCGGGCGACCCCGACGGTCTCACGGACAAGCAGCTGCGTGAGGGCGCGGAGTCTAGTTCTTACGTAGCTCGTGAGTGCGTACCTGGAGTGCGATTATTTCCACAAGGCGTGGAGGATTGCGACCATCGCGCAAATACCAAAACTGGGCAAAAATAAACATAGAAACAAATAGACATTCGAGCGAATGATTCTGCCGCGTTTGCAACAGGACGTCGTCTGAACCTTCTTAGGGATGATCAATTTGGCTTTCGAGCTGGTCACAGCTCCGCACAGCAGCTTCCGAGGCTTTGAACGGAGATCGGCCTCGCCCTTGAGAGACTGCTTGAGAGAGAGACTGTGTATCTAGCATTCTGGATTGCTCGCATGTCTCGCGCAGGCGATAGTGAGCGATTGCCAAGTCAGATTGATCGCGAGTTCTCTCTCTGACAGGCTGTTCAAAGGGCGCGTTAATAATGTTTACTCGTCCCTCAGAAGAACCGAGGCGGGTGTGCCTCAGCGGTGCGTTCCTTGTCCTACCCTCTTCGGCTTACACGGAAATGACGCGCCGCTCCCCGCTGAAACAAGAACTGGTACTCAACGCTGCGGGCTCCTTATGTTCGCAGATGATTTTGGAAACTAAGCAAAATCGGCGAACGGAAGGCAGTCAGTTAAATACTTAAGTGATTGTCTCGCCGCCTTTCCTGAATGGCCAAGTCGGAAAGGACTCGCTCCCAACCTCGGGAAATGCGTCGCCTTCAACTTCACTCGCAAGAGGGTAGACCCCAATGAAACTGAGCTTGTCTGGCGAGCGTCTACCTTGGCAGAGCGAAGCGAAATATTCGCGGGCATGCGCACGTTCTCTATCTCGCTGCCAACATCAAAAATCGAACCCTTCTTTCGAATTCTCTTCTCCGTTCTCCCGACCTAAATATTCCCTTATTCACCGTGTGCGTTCGTCTCTTGTGAGCGTACGCATGCGAGGTATTCGCGGCCGCTCCTCCTCCTCTGCGTCCCACTCGGGTCGCAGACAACAGAGCGGCGCGCTCACATCTTTCCAACACTCGACCAGAGCGCACTCCCCGAGACGCTGACGTGTTCAGAGTTCGAGGCGGGCGAAACCAGTTCGCGGCGGAGCTGCAGAAGCGGGCGGAGACGGCGCGAGAGACTGCGCTCGAGAGGGCGCTAAGGCCGTCCGCTCCGCGCATCCTGCGCGACGTCGCCTTCATCTTCCGCGCACTGCCCCCGCACAAGCTCTCCGAGCTGTGCGACGCGGGGAGCAGCAAGTGCGTGGGAGGCGGTCGCCGCTCACGGATGCCTGGGCCGCCTGAAACTGAAGACTGCGGCGCCACGGACGCTGGAGTGAATTAAGCGCCGTGGCGAATTAAACAAGTAGTGCAGTGTAGTGTTGTGACGTGTGATTGTGTGAATTAATGTGTTTTGTACATATAGTTTAAGAATGGATGAAAGACTGTGAGAAAAATATTGAAGAAAAAATATACAATCAAAAGAACTTTAAATAATCCATTATTCGCTATTTTAACTAATAAGAGCTCAAGAGGCCTGTACATTTTAGTTTTAAGTTAGATTAAGTTAGTATTTTTAAGATAAAAGCCCTCCCCAAGCTTCAGAAGCCGAATCAGCTGAAGCAATGAATGTACACACAGAAAATGAATAAATTTCCACCTCACCAGGGCAACTGGACAGGGAAAAATTGAAAAAAAAAGTTTAAAAGACAGAACACACGAAAAACATTTCAAATCTCAGAAGGACAAGTCCAAATATTGCACACCTGCAAAAATTACACGCCTCTCCACTTGAATGGGGTAAAGATACAATGTGGGAGCGGCGCCGAGCACAGGCTCAATATTTCTTTTTACTTAGCCCTAGAAACATTTTCCCAATCAACAAGACTTAATGACCCAATTCGGATTTAAACTTGTTTAAACAGCAAGCTAAAGTTTTAACTACCAGACTCAAATGCTGCAATTACTGCAAAAAGATGTAAGAATATGTGGTTATCATAACTGCCATAGTGATTTCACAGATTTTTTCTCTGAACAAAATGGTATTAATTTTAGTAAAATTTGTTCTGTTATGAAAACTCTTGGGAATCAACAACAGCCAGACTGAGTGGTGGTTGATAGACTCCTCTAAAGTCAGTTTGAAGGCTGTGCTGCTAAATGTTGGCAATGATCTTCCATTAATACCTGTAACATGTCACTGGTATGAAAGAGACATATGAAAATATGAAACTAGTTTTACAGAAATCCAATACGAAAAATATAAATGAAATATCATGGTGACAAACAGGTCCATGCTTTATTACTTGGTTTGCAACATGGGTTCACCAAATTAGAGATAAGTGTCACAAAGTTAGAAATTCACGGCCTAAATGTGAATATCTTATCCCTGGCCAAAAAAGGTTTCATATGTCCAACTTTCAGATGGATTAGTGTACTTGAAAACAAAATCTCCCACATCAGAGATGCTAAACTGAAAGAAGGCATTTTTATTTACCACGAATACAGTCAACAATGGCTGATGAACATTTTTAAGGACAGTTAAATCCTATGGAAAAAGCAGTTTGGCAATCTATCAAAAATTTAAGTAGCAAATTCCTTGGAAACCTCAAAAGCAGAAAACAATTTTTTAGCTCATATATGCATTGTAATGTCAGCCGTTGTGAGTACTATGTAATCTAAAGTTCCTGTGAAGCTCATCGGCGCAATTGTCAGTTCAGCCGATTTCGCGATAAATAAAGGCTGAGATTTTCTTTTAAAGATCCCAAACTACATGTTTGCAAGCTGAGTTCACTTGAACAAAACGAACGTTTCTGTGACACGCCAAGAACTTGGTGCAGAATGCTTATAAACTGCTCAGAGTAATCCTCCGTTATTAAACTAGACCGTAGTCCATAAGTCATGTCAGGAGTCATGAACAGAACCGCGAGGTGGCATTTCCGCGTACGTACCTCTCTCTTGTGTTGAAACAATGAAATTTTTCATAGTTTTTGCAAACAACTTTTACTTTGTGTCACATTCTTGATGCAATACGTTTAAAATTATTCTATTTAGTTTACAAATTGACATGTCAAAACATGCTTATGTAACAAGCCTATTATTGGGGGGATTGAAAGTTTTGCCGAAAAAAGTGATTCCTAAATAATCACAAATAATTATTATGTAATAGTTATCTAAGTAACGTAATTGTGGGATTATAAGTAATGCCACAATTAAGAGAGTAAAGATGTGTGTTCATTCGTAACTTCCTGGGGAGACATTGGTTCACCCGACAACGTTCAAGATAGTTGTGCTTAGGCCTTTAATTTCATAAGATATTGGCCAACTCCCACTTCACCCTAATAGCTTGTTTAGTTTTCTCCAAAGACTTCTGTATACTGACATTCACTGTCTAATCAATAATTTTTTTTAAAGGGAGGACGAAGTGTCAAAGAAACAAACACTTTTTTCAATTTCGATCACTGTATCATCCATTTGAATACCAAAACATTTTATGAGATATCGGAATTATAAATTGTATAAGCGTGCAAGTATTTTTCTTTGCTAATAACAAATCCAACAATTTTAGAAATAAATTTACCTGTGTAAACAATATCACTCCAGAACACAATACATCAACCTATAAATATTTTCTTATTCAACAGTATATTTTCAATATCATTGTAGATTTGACATGTTCTATTTCAAAGAGTCTCACCTTCGTTTAATAGTTGTCCAAGATCCATAAGGATTGCCTCTTGGGGCTGGGCCCATTACGATAGAACTTTTTGTTTCAATTTTTTCCTCCACTTTTGCCCTCTTTTTCATTTTCTCCCTTTCTATAAAAGCTCTGTATTCTTCAGCTTTCATTTTCTCCTGTTCTTCTTTTTGCCTAGCTTCTTCAATTTTCTTTTTTGCTTCTTTTTGAATTTCTTCTTTCTCCAACTTTTTTTGTTCATCCAAACTTGTAAAGCCTTCTTCTGGTGGCTCCCAGACTGATTCTATATCAACAGTAAAAAAATATTGTGATATACAAAAACTATAAATTCAGTAATACACATTTGATTATCATTACTAGAAAAGCAAAATTAAGTAACGTAAGTTATATTACTGTAAAACTTTCTCAATGCGGAACCTCAAGGGACCAGTATTTTTTTATCTGTAATAGGCAAGATTCCTCATTATACAAATTTATTATTCAGTAGAATTTAGGTTTGTCTGGACCACCATTCTTGTTCGCACGAGACAGATTTCCACATTATGCACATTCCGCATTGAGCAAGTTTTACTGTATTAATAATTACACAAACAAAAATTGATTAAAAGCTGTCCACCCAGATACACCAACACATTTCCAGCTGCCAGTAATGCAATACACAAAGTAACCCTTTAAAGAAATGATTTAGTGTGAGCAAATCATTAACAATATTAGAGTTGCTTACACGGGTGTCCTGTTCATGGCATTATGATCATGTATGTACACTTTATTGACTTGCAACATAGTAAAATGCCTTTTTACTTTATCGCATAGTAACGTACTTAGTAAAGAGAAAGTATTGAAATGTATAAGAGCCATTCCACGACAAATCACACAAAAAATAACAAAATTTGACATTCATATATACAAGTTAACAGGTTTATTTTTTCTAACTTTATTATTTTCCGAAATATTTCATAAAGAAATTTGCTCCAAATGATGCACACCACTCACATAATAGTATCATAAACAGTAGAACCCTGGTAATCCGAACTAATTTTGGGTGTGGTCTCTTCGTATTCGGAAAAGTTCGAATTATCCTATGAAATGTACAGTGCATATACAAATACATCTGTAGGATTACCAGACACAATACAACGTAGCGTGCAATGTGAGAAAATGGCAACGAAGCGTAGCGATCGTATCACCGCATATCACATCGCTTCACATCGCAGCATCAAGTACATTCAGTTCCTTGCGGCAAAAGATGATCGATTTTGCAAGTTTCTCAAAGGGCCGGTTACACCACGTACGCATAAGATTATTAAGCGACGATTTAGCAAAAATAATAGAGCTTAGGTCAAATTAGCGTTTCACCATGGTACGTAAGCGTTGCTTAGCATTAAGCTGCGCTTTGTACATAAGCGCTCGCCGAACGATCGCTTAAGGGTCGTAAGCCAACTTACGGAGACCAAAGAAGTATGGCGAAGAGGTTATGCGCAATTGCATTTGGTGACGACGATCACGTTTCTGAAAATATAATTTTTAGACGAACTAGATGGATCCGAGAGTGCAAATTTCTTCGATGACGGATGAAATTGATATATGGACTCACTTTTGCCTTTCGAAGAGATCGCCATTGTTGGTATTGAAGCAGATTGAAAAAAAAAAAAAAAAAAACTAGAATTTACATCTGACAGACGTGTAGTGTAACCTTGTTGTAACTACATAACGGAGAACTGAAAATTTACAACCTTTACTAAACAGAATTTCTTCCGGTATATTGTGTTCCCCCTCTCTGGAAATAGTAAAAAGATAATATTTGTAACTAAGGTTAAGTTTACGATAAGCTTGTATCAGTATAGTATTTGAATTTTAAGTACAGTTCGAATTTGAACACAACGTAATTCTGATCATTATCCTGTTAATTTCATGTTCATTAGTTACATATATCCAAAATTGCATCGCATATATATGCTATTTAAGAATTCAGTACGCCCGCAACGATTACGAAACAATAGACTTTGCACAAAACTTTGTGAGACTACCTATTTTATTTCATTTGCCAATGTTTCAATACATTATCCAACTTTCAGGGCTGTAATTGTACAAATGGCTATTTTGTAATGTAATATGATTATTTAGTTTGTAAATAGTAAATCTATGATATTCCTTTCAAACAAGATAGTGTTATTGTTTGTACTGTGTAATACAAAATTAATAACGATCGTAAAATAATTTGATAGAATTATCATACAATGAATACAATAATTTGATAGAATTATCATACAATGAATACAATGAAATAGCACCCACTTATATTAAACACTAAGTTAAATTTTAAAATAATGAAGTCAATTAAACTGTCTGGATAAAATAAATTACCTCCGGTTGTAGTGTTCCAATAATACGTGTAACCTTCATCAGAGACTGCTTCATGCCAAGTTTTGAGGATTTTGGTGTCTGACTTTTGTTCCGTATCTTCTTTACTCTCATTAACTTTCTTTCCTTTTCTCTCTGTCTTTTCATCATTAACAGATGGTGGACATGTCTCTTTGCTTTTGTTAGCCTCTAATTGTTGATTCAAAAGCTGTGACGTGTAGTCAGCATTCCTTTCTACATCTTTCATATAAGCTTCTAATGCAGCCTACAAACAAAACAAGATATTAAAATGAAGTTAGATATCAGTAAACAAGAACAAATGAACACCAATTAATTTAATTAATACAATATCGCAACAGATTCATAGACGGATCTGTACGTATCCATTACATTTCCAGATGGAAATAGTTTTATATTTTACAATTATGGGATTTGCTTCTGAAGTTTGTATTACACTTTTTATTTTAACCCTGATGCAGAAACAATCTTATAGGCCCAGATCCACCACATTCACAATTCTTGAGAAACATAACATGACAAAACGGTTCTGGAAGCATTCTCCCATATATTTATTTTCTAAGTGTGCTACAGGTTTTTCACAAAAGAGTTTTTGCAAGTTATGAATTGTTGTTCGCAGACGGTTAGCTTAGACGGCTAGTGATGTTCACAGACGGACGAGCGGATGGAGGCAGACCAACGTTTTGCCGTAATTCGAGTTTTCGGCATCAAGCACCAACAAAACATGGGTCCTGACTACAACAAGTGTTAAAGGATTTTTTTTTTAAATTTAGCAACTGGATTAATCCACTTTTTTGTTACCAATGCCCTGAAGTAAGTTTTTCTGCCGAAAATTCGCCGTTTTTTCGAACAGCATTACATAACTTTCTCTCTACTGCGTAAGCAGTAGCGAGAAAGTAAAAAGGGAGTAACGGAAGGAAGGCAGGCGTTGGATATTCATTTATATCTATCGTACGGGAAAATTTTCGGGAAGACTTCCCTTAGGCAGTTACTCCGCACCCGAGTTTTTTCGACCAATGCTTCCTAGGAAGCGTACCCCCAACGCGGTTCTGGAGACCTTTATCAACCAGGCGCACCTCGCGTGGGAGCCCCTAATTGCGCCCGGGATTGGACTCTCATTTTCTCCGTCAATGTCGGTCTCAGTTAACTACACCCGAGCAGTCTGGTTGGGAGAAAGTGAGATATCGTTAGAGCGGGATGTTGTCGAAGGGATTTAATTTTGCCGGGCGTACCGCCACGGTTTTTTTATATGTCACAAGTGTGACATTGCTACTGTGGATTGTGGCTACTGTGCCACCTTTGAAACTTCTAAAAATCGTACAATTAATTGTTTCTTTTTTGCAAAGAACATTCGTGTCATCGGCAAACAGAACCGTTCTTCCGTTTTTTAATAGGCGACGGCATATCGTTTACGTATAACAAAAAGAGGATAGGACCTGAGATCGAGCCTTGCGGAACCCCATATTCAATTGGTAGAGAATTGAAAAGATAAGTAAATAATGTGCTTTCGTGCCAGTACGGTATTTCTACTGTTTGAGATCGATGTTTAAGGTACGAAGTTATAAAATCTAGAACGATACCACGAATTCCACAAGGTAATTTTGATAGCAAGATGTTATGGTCAATAACGTCAAAAGCTTTCGAAAGATCTAAAAATATCCCAATGGGTGCTTCATTTTGGTCCATTGATGGAGCAACATCTTTAAGAAAAGAAAAAATGGCAGTTTCCGTAGATTTTGATTTTCTAAACCCGTGTTGTGAGACTGAAAACGCTTTGTTTTTCCTGAGAAAAGTCTCTCAGGAAGCGTATAGAAAAGCCTCTCTAATATTTTAGGGAAACCTGACAAAAGAGAAATTGGTCGGTAATTTTGAATTTCATTTTTGCTCCCTTTTTTAAAAAAGTGGCTTAATTTTTGCTGTTTTGAAAATATCTGGAAATAGTCCTGTGCATAAAGAAGCATTGAAAATGAGAGTTAACGAGCGTATAAAGGCAGGTACACAAGTTTTCAATAAACAACCCGGAAATTCATCTAAACCAGATGAATATTTATTTTTTAGTTTACTGACTACTCGTAAGATTTAGTAGGAAGAAACCTCGGAAATAAAAATCGTGTCGAAAATGTTTTGGGAAGGTAATGATGTTGAATCTGACGGTTTTAGTCCGTGAGTTCAGCCGCAATTCTAGAAATGTGTTGGTTGAAGAGATTTGCCACTTTTTCCGGACTACTGGCTTCTCCTTCATTATCCTTTAAAACAACATTCTCTACTAAGTAACGAGATGATGTGATCGTATTTTTTACGATATTCCACATTGCTTTAGTTTTGTTACTAGCGTTTAAAATATCATGATTATTTTTCATTATTTTCGCCTGAACTATTACTTTTCTTAAGATTCTTTTGTACTCTCGAAAGTAGACATGTAAACCGAGTGATACGTTATAATGTTTAGAAATAAAGTAAAGCGTACGTTTGTTTTTACACGATGTTCTTATACCTTGTATGATCCAAGTATTATTTTTCCGTGAAATATTTAATTTTCTCTTTTTGAGAGTAAGGCGTGTGAAAGTGAAATGAAAGTTTTGAGAAAAATAAATTATATTTTTCAATTGTGTCAACAGCGTAATTAACTGTGTCCCATGATTTCTTCGGCAAGTAGTCCGTAAATAATTTTCTGTTAACTTAAGTGAATGCTCTGCACATGCGTGAATAATTTGTATCAGTGTTCATGTTATTAGTAATTGTAAGAATTTGTGCATCATGGTTACTAGATTAGTAGTTTTTATTTCATATCTAGTTTGGTGAAATCAGCCGTTAAAGTAAATTCAGTCTCCAAGGGTACGTGCAGTTGACGATTTCCATACAAACATTGACTTGGAAACAAGTTTTTATTCATTGGGATTATTTATTGATACAAATTAATTGATTGGAATTTAGAGGGCGCTTCAACCACTGAGGTCATTGGCGCCCGTGGCAAAGTTTTTAATTTAAATAGATTTAATAAAAGGAATGTTGCAAATGCAAGTCGACTGCTTATTAAAAACGTGTACACAATCTAAGAAGATGGCTGGAATTCCGCATAACCATTGAATTCTCTCAAATAAAATTATAGATTCCCTTCTCTCAAAGAAACCAAAAAGCTTTAAGAGCGCGGAATCGCCATCATCGAATACCACCGTAAGGTGTTGCCCAGGCCATGCCTTCGTCGGCTGCCAACGAATTCGTAGAATGCAGGAGAATGTGTTCCACGGAAAGAACCGTGCAGCACGAGTCCCAGATGGGAGGAGATTCACTTCGGAGGAACCTATTAGAAAAGTGGCCGTGTCTGTTAAGAACAGAGGTTAAAATGACTTCCTCGCGCCTAGATGATTCTTATGAGGAACGCCAGGGATTAACAGAATCCTTTACCACATTTAATTTTAAAGTAGTATGGTGCCACTCTGCCACAATCTAAAGATCCTTTCAAAAAAGCCGTAACATCAGACGGTACAGAAGGAGCGTAAATACGAGTCTTCGCGTCGCTGATTTCGCCGTCTGGTCAGCGATCTCATTACCTGTGATTCTCACATGACCTGAAACCCAACTGAGTTACCAGATCATAGTGGTGAGACAGACGATGAATTAGGTTGTACTTCAGCAGTACACTCTGATGAAGGCCACAATACGCTGGCCGAAACGTTAGCCACCATGTCAGCGACGCGGCTCGTCCCGGATATCCTAGACAACACGAACTCCGGCCGCGGAAGCCTACGCAACTAATCTATCCCTTCTTTGGGAACTAGAATGATCGCTTTTCACCATATAGCAGGATTGGTGCTCTTCCCAGATACACTAGTAGACCAGAGGAGAAACTGCATGGCCGATTCAGGATGCAGCATTAGGTTATGGATTTTATCTAGACCCGGAGCAGTTCTTTTCGTAAGGGGCCTCACACACAGAGAATGGGGTATTGAAATCCTCGTGTGCTCTACTCGAAAAACTAAAACACTGTTTTCCATTCTTTGAACAAAAAATTAACTCAGGACTCGAAATGATTTCCTAATGAGCGGCAAGTTTCTCTACAATTGCGTCTCGAGATGTAATCGTCTCGCCATTCTTAAGAAGACCTGGCACCGAATGCGGGGAGGATATCACTTCATTTACGTACTTTCCTCCATACCAGACATGGTCACCTATGGTAATTGACGGAGGAGACATTCAGTATTCTATTTTCCTCGGGTTGGGCTAGCTATTCCGACTTGCCCCACCCTCTTGACAGCTGCTCTGTCGCCGCACAAACAATTTTTAATTTCTCTTTTTTTTGGGAAGGAGGTTCAATAGTACGAGTAAAACAGAGTACTTTAAAAATATTAAGGAGTAAAATGTCGCCCTAAATGGCAATTTTCACTGAAAAATTTGGAGCTATTTTTAAGAAAATGGTGTTTAAGTGTTACTGTGAACGCGAAATTTTCTTATGAAAAAACTTCATTTGAAGTCATTTCAAGCACCGCAAATGTGCATATTAAAAGCGTGAGATATTAAAAAAAATTAATTTGTATAATTTTAAAAAAAGAATACACCAAAATGGACTCTATGTCGTATTAAACAGTGCAATTTACCACTATCCGTTGGAAAAGTTTGAAAAAAATATAGAGCCATTTTTGAGAAAATAGCGTTTGGGCATTTCTGATAATGCAGAATTTTAAGCCAATTTTCACAGAAAACTTGAGTTTTCGAGAAACGTTATCTGACATTTTTGAAGGCATATGTAGTCATAAAACACAATGTGAACAAATTGCCGCTAATGTAAATATTAACGTGATAGACCAGTATAAAAATTATATTTTTGTAATTTTCATTCATGTTTCAATCAGTTTCAACATTCATTTCATTTATATTAATTGATCTTACGGACTGCATTTAGTACTATCGCTATCAAAATTTTAAAGAAAAAAATGTCGCCCTGATTTGTAAGAAAATCTGTATTTTATTTTTTTAAAATTACAAATATTGCACGCTATATCGCGCGAAAACTACAATTTTCAAAACATGTACATGACTTTAATGAAAGAACTAATTATGGACAACAAATTTCAATCGAAAGAAAAACCTCAGATTCAGATTTAACAGTGAAAATCAGACATATGCCACATTTATAAGAGTAGTTTATTCTTACAAGAAATTTAAAGAAAAAATTGGAGCGGTTTTTGAGAAAATTTTTAATATCCGAGGGTGCTTCATGTAATGTACCTGCAAATTTTGAAGAAAGTTTTTCAAAATCGCAACGCCTTGAAACTAGGTAGATCGACGGGGAATATCCGTTTTGGAAAAAATCTTACATATCGCACCTTCAATAGAAAAGTGACAAGTGCGAATTTCTGATTTCTCAGAACATGCAATTTTAAGTTTCGTTGTTCTGTAATATTCGTTATAGATTGTACCAAATATTCACCTTCTAGCGGACAGTAATTGAACTAATTCAAAATCAACTTCAGAATAGTAGCAGGACCTCTTGGTAACTTATCAGCTTTTAGCTGAAAAATGACGATTTCGCACTTGTGTCATTTTTCTATTGGAGGTGCGATATATTTTAGTCTCTAGTGTTCAGATGCACGGACAGACAGGCGGACGGACGTTTTGGAAAACACTTTCGTTAACGTGACCCCAAAACGTATTTCCGTTGAAATCTCTAAATCGATTTTCCGCAGCATTACATCACTTTCTCAGTACTACGTATATACTCAGTACACGAGAAAGTAGAAAAATAGAATTTAAACAAAGTACTTTGCGAATTATTACAAGCAGATTACTGCAATATATAGCTGGCAAAGCGTCTTAGGCCCTCAAAAAAAGGTTTTTGTCTTGAGGGGCACATTTTGTGGGGGCACGAGTTTTGGAGGAGGGGACATAACGATGAACAGATGGAGCCCTAATTAAGTTTCTTCAATAGTATTCTTAGGTGTGCACAGCCAAAAATGATGGGGCTAAGTACATTCCGGGGCCCCACTTAAGCTGTTTTATTTTCTTATGACTTTTTGTAACTAATAAATAAAACGTACAAGAAGACATTGAAACTATGACACTAATAAATACAATTAATGTTATGTTGGGTCACATGCACTGAAGAGCCAAAAAACTGATACAAACATGCGTATTGAAATAAAGAGATCTAGAACCAATCAAAATACGGCGCTCCAGTCGGCAACACCTATATAAGACCACCAGTCTGTTACAGTTGTTAGATCGGTTACTGCTCCTACAATAGCAGGTTATCACGATTAAAGTGAGTTTGAACGTGGTATTATAATACGCGCAAGAGAGATGGGGCATGGCATCTCCGTTGTCGCGATGATATTTGGGTTTTTCCCGTGCGAGCATTTTTCGAGTATACCGTGAATATCAGGAATCCGGTAAAACATCAAACCTACGGCATCGCTGCGTTCGCTAAAAGTTCGTGCAAGAACGGGACCGACGATTGAGGAGAATCATTACACGTGACAAGTGCAGCCCTTCCGAAATTGCTGCATATTTCAATGCTTGGCCATCAACAAGTGTCAGCGTGTGAACCATTCAATGAGACATATCGACATCTTATCCGCCTCGTCAGGTTGCGACAGTAGGAAGAAATAGTCATCGGGTCTGGGTTCGTTCCCTCAACCTCGTACCTACTTTCGACACTCATGTATTTAGTTACATTACTGCGTTACATGGTGCCCGGCTGTACACTCTCTGGTAACCATACTCTGATTATTTCATACTTGTTAATTTAACCCTAACTGGCACATGCAGGATATCACTTTGACTGGAGTTTTTAGGTGATAATTAATAAGATATGATTTAGACTGATAAAAATGTCATTTACTACTCAAGTGAATTTGAATACATTTGGCCGAAATTCGCAACGCGCTTTGTTTATGTAACATTTACAAACTACTTCTACTACTACACTGTTTACTTCTCTCATGTTTCTTGAGATTGCTGTTTACATAAGGTCTTTGAAATAACAAACCATTGAGTTCCATGTCCTCCAAGCCGCCTTTGGTACCTGCCAGCGTGCCCCACAGTCACAGCCGACCCGACGCCTTCTTTTGTTGGTTCCCGGCTGGACCGCCCGTAGGCTCAACACTCAAATAGCCCCCGTTCAGCCGATTCCGTCACGTCAAAGCCCTTGCTTGCCGCATCCCCGCTCGGTGTTGTCAACGCCCAGCTGCTTCGCGTAAGTTCGTATTAAACCAGATTCGGCTTACGATTCGGATTCCATTAATTATTGCGACTGTGGCTGCAATATTCTCACTAGTATTTGAACATCCCGAATATTCTTAGCGTACACCATCTACACCGTGATGGCAACAGCCACATTACTTGGCGCAAATCTACTCTTACTGCTGTGAACCCTGGCTCCGTCTATCTGCCCTAACGATACATACTCGACCTCGGTTAATTTGTTTCTCCTCTTTCACCCAGAGTCCCTGTATCACCAAGCCTCTTCTACCCTTCCCGTCTCGATCGGTAAAAACACCTTCCTTTTCTTTACTTTATCCAATCATTTTTGTATTTTGCACGGAAAATTCCTAGTATTCGCCCAATTAGCAAGCTGCAACGAGGTCGTCTCCTCCTCTGTCTGGCGCAAAGGGTTCGGATGGAAACACTTGCGCGACACTATTTTACCCATGGGGTATTACGCCAATCAGTAAGGTCTAAAATTTATCGGTTTACGATTGGGCAGACGGCTCAGTTGCTGGCCTTGTTATGTTCATCTGGCCGATTATCGTCATCGTTGACGTGCGCAACTGCTTCTGGCCTCGTTCCGATTTTTATTGAGTTCGGAAAGTAATCGTCATTGCTGCAAGTAATCGTCAAAGGAGTTGCTGCTTCAAGTAATCATTGTTCTGTGAGGAGCTGAGCACATGCGCGCGGCGAATTTACCCACACGAGAAATTATGTCACCCAGCCGCATACCGCTGGGCTTGCTTCGCTCCCTCCGTCGATCGTTAATGTCAGCGCGTTGGCTGCGCGGCATGCCTCGCCCCGTTTCATAACTCCTTTGCACAATACAACTTTGTTCACTAACCCTACTTATTCGTGCGCCCTCTAATATTCTTATTTCAATATGATTTCTTGATATGTGTGGATGTATAATCCATTTCAATATGGGGTTTCGGAGCCAAAGGCCCACTCGTGTACCCTAGATGACTGCACGACACAAAGCATTACGCTTCGCCTGGACCCGTCAACATCGACATTGGACTGTTGATGACTGGAAACACGTTCCCTGGTCCGAGGAGTCTCGTTTCACATTGTTTCGAGCTGATGGAGGTGTACGAGTATAGTGACCTCATGAATCCATGGACCCTGCATGTCAATTGGGGACTGTTCACTCTGGAGGTTCGGTGGTGGTATGGGGCGTGTGTAGTTGGAGTGATAAGACCCCTGATACGTCTAGACGCGATTCTGGTAGGTGACACGTACGTAAGAATCCTGTCCCATCACCTGTACCCATTTATGTCAATTGTGCATCCCGACGGTCTTGGGCAATTCCAGCACGACCATGCGACAGCCCACACGTCCAGAATTGCTAGAGTGACTCCAGGAACACTTCTGAATTTAAACACTTCCACTATTCACCAAAATCCCCAGACATGAACATTATTGAGCATTGGGATGCCTTGCAACGTGCTGTCTAGAATAGATCTCCACCCTCTCGTGCTCTTACGAGTTTATGGACAGCGCTGCAAGATTCATTGTGTCAATTACCTCCAGCATTTCTTCAGACACTAGTCGGGTACATACCACGTTGTGTTGCGGCACTTCTGCGTGCTCATGCTTCTGCGTTCCCTGATATTAGGCAGGTGTACCAGGTTTTTTTTGTTTGTTTTTTTTGGGGGGGGGCTCTTCAGTATACATATAAGAAAGCTTGAAAACTTTTACAAATGTCTTAAAACAATTTCCCCAAACTGTACGATTAAAAAGGGGGAATATCAGAGATTGAACATATTTACGGATATAAAATGTTTTATTACATAAGGTTATGGGACCTCTAAAAATGTCCAGGGGAACCATGGCCCCTCGGGTCCCCTACCTCTGTGCATGACTACGGCAGTATTCCACAAAATAAGTACTTATTTAACTTTCTATTGCACTTTTGGAGATTAATTCAGTTGGGTGATTCACTTCATCCCGCGGATGGTCTGAAAAGTGCATAATCAGGAAATCGAGCTAAAATTAAGTTAAAGCAAAAAGACAGAAATAATATTTCATGATAAATTAAAGGGACTGTTTGATTTTTTGTCCAATTTAATCTCAATGCTTGGCAATATTAGAATGTGTTCTCTCACACAGAACGGCGCCTATCATGTAACACATAGCTCAAGGGCTGGCTATTCGAAGTTGGTTTCTACTATAAAGTAATTTTCACTTTAAAACAATTATTAACAAAGTGCGGAATTGTCACATGGGTCCAGCAACTAACAGAGAATAATATAATATGAGAATAATATGATATAGTTATACTAATATTATAATATAACTGTACTTATAATATAATTGTACTAATATCATAATATCAGTATAATAATAGAATATTTCAAGATTATAAAATAAATATTGCTCTAATTATATAAATATATTTAAACCTTTTCCATTTTTTTGAAATCTTCATCCAATTTCTTCTTCTCCTTATGATCTTTGGCACTTTGACGAGAGATATTTTTAAGCTTAAGGGCAACATTTTCCTTGTGCCTTTTACCTTTCTCATGAAAATCTACACTCTGGAACAATACAAATTTTTAACAAATTAAAGAATCAATACAGAAAGGGCTAAACAAAGTTTCATTAGACAAAGACTCACAGGTTTGTTATCCGCAATCCAACATTTACAGAAGTCGCAGTATTTTTTAGCATTTGACTTCCAATAGTCAGCCCTGGAAAATTCATTTTATCAATTACAAGTATTTCAATAAACAAAAATCACCAAAAAAAAAATTTGCACAGTTACAAAAAAAATGTAATGAGAAAATGAAACAGTTCAATGAAGTTTTAAGAAAAATACAAGCAGTCAAGAAAGTTCCATTTCAACCCCTAAGATAAAATGTCAACAAGTAACAATCCATGGCAGCACTGTTGTTTTAGTTATTATCCCATTAGGATGAAAGTCAACTAGAGATATTTACATCATTTCTGTAAGTGCAGTGATTAAGTAGTTATGTCACATTTCCCTCCTTTCCAGGGCACAACTTATCAAGTTCGCAGAATAGTGAAAAATAAGGATTTTGAAATAAATCAATAAAATGTAAAATTGGCCACTTCTCACCAACAACAAACTTATTTCAAAACAATAACGTACTTTGTTCTCATTATTATTAATAATTCGGAATTATAAACAAAAAGAAAGTGGAAAATAATTCAATTTGCAGTTTTATTTTAAAAAAAACAAAACGACTATTGAAGTAAAAAAAATTTATGTCTGTAAGTACTTCAAGAATTGCATTTATTTAAATATAACATTATTTGCTACTATTAATTTCCACCGCCTTAAGCCTCTTCCTCTGGAACAGGGCCTGTAGAAAGTTTATCCTTTTTTAATAAATCTAAAATCATGAAAATTTTTATCAATTAATAGCAACGTAATAATATATTTGATTTTTCTAATTGGTGTCACTGAGGAGTAAAATTAATATTGTTTTAAATTCACTGTTTGATTCGTTTATTGAATGTTTAAAAGAAATTTACCTCCTCCCATCCCTCACTGCAGCCATTGTACTGGACTCCACAAACAAAACATTCAATTATTGTCCTTTTTAATTAAACATGATCCATTTCCCTCGCTGAACTCATTTGGCCAAATTTTAACTTGACCATTTATTCACTGCACATACAGATTATTTCATTTTCATGAAGGTCAGATGATGATGATGATGATGATGATGATGATGATGATGATTATAACTTTTCAATACTGGCTAAATTTCAAGAGTGAATTATTTCAGGCATAAAAGAAACATTATGTATGAAATCAGAGTGCAACTAAGTTCTGTCAGTCTCTCCTGTGACCATATGTATTGATGTGTGTGTGTGTGTTTTTTTATGAGTATGTACATTATATATACATATATTATTATGTAAATGACAAGCACGTGCACACTTTATGACTGTAGCAGTTGTCATGCACAGAAACACAAAATAATCTATCAATACACGAGAGAAAGAGACAAACATACACGCTTGTGCTACAATCTGTTTGTGCCCACTTGTGTGGGTGAAGGGTAACTTTGAAATCTTGAATTTAAACTCCAGATTTTTATATTTGAGATTCGAATACTGCAAAAGAATGAGCATCTTTGGTTGCAACAGTTTTCAATTTGCGATAGCACTGTAAAATAACCAAGTTTCATTAGATACAGAATTGGGAACTTCAGGACATATCTGAAGGTTGTCGGGTACTAATGCCCACGTTTTCTTAAATATTCTCATGGTTCATAATATTCGGTGTTACACTGAAAAAAATAAGGTAAGAAGTACAATAAATTGAAATTAAACCTAATTTATATGAAATGGAAATATTACTTTTTATTTCAACAAGCCCCGAAGTGTGGGTCCCAGGGAAAGGTCAGGGGCCTCACAATGCCTCCTGACAAGAAAAGCAGTGAAGAATTGTCATAAAACAGCACACTAATTGAAACAATTAAAGTAAAGTCTTGTAAAAAATACAGCTATACATTTTCTACATAGCCACGATCCCAGAGATTTCAAAAAAGGGGTTCATGCATTAAGACAGTAATCACTGCAGGCTAATACTAATTTTTTTTAATATTCGTAATTTAACATTTAAGGGGTTTTCATGAGTTGTGAATATATGTAAGAGGCAGTCATTTTTTTTTTCAAGAAACAGAATTTGCTTATTTATTTATTTAATTAATTTGAATGCATTACACAAAACCCTAACAATAATATTAACATTTTTTTACCATCTACATAATAAATGATGGCTCTTAGTTAATAAAAATTAATGATCATTTGTTGTAATTGTAGTCATTTCTACTGAAATAATATACAAGAGTACAGGCCCAAAATACACAAGATTAAACAATGTAATATTTTGAATGGAACATGTTTAATTTTTGCAGTGCCGTTAATCAATAATCAAAAAATGTTTAGGAAAACTTCTCTCTCTCTCTCTCTCTCTCTCTCTCTCTTTTTCCCCCCCCTCCCTACATCACAATCTGAACCTGTTATACAACATGGGGGTTTTCATTTAAAATTTGAAAGTTGCACTCTGCACAAGTAATTAGTCTGACAGGTGCAGACAGATTGTAGCACAGATGTATTTCCCCCTCAGAAATCTTTAACTCTGCATTTAATAAATTTTTTGGAAGTTTGAATTTCAAGATACTTCAAAGACTAAAGATCATGTAACTGTAATATAAATGTTATGTATCTACAACTTGTTCCAATTCATTCTTCACATAAAAAATATCATAAAACCCAAATTCTTTCATTAACTTTCAAATTTTTTATTTTACATTTCATACATATTTATATATTGTATATTATTAAAATTATATAGTACATACAAAATACAATGTAATCTCTTTCAGCTGACCACACGATAAATATCTTGAAATTGGTCTTTTAGAAGGGTGGTGGTCTTGTACAATGAAACTAGTACACACTACTGCTGCTTCTTCTACCTTATACATCTTAAAACTATTTGTATTTCTCATGAAAGTTGAAAGAGATGAAATGTCTACATAAAGTTGGTGTTAATTTACCTTTTTTCGCCTTTTGCTGCTTTTTACCGTTTCCTTTATACATAATTTGAGGAGATACATTTCTTATAACCAATGTTAAGATTAGGATCTGACATTTGTTGGTTCAACAGTTCTCTTCCATAATCTTTCAATGCTTGCCTATGCATAAGGGTAAGGTAGTTATTTACACCCATAGTCAGTGGTAAATTTTTGGCATTCAACAAAATACCCTCAGATTTAGTGGCCTTAGACATAACTTCTTTGATGGTTCATTACCCATTCTTCAATTTTCCCTAATATCACTACATCTGAAACGTGGTCTTTAGAGCGAAGCCGCAGTCCACTCACTACATTTTTTTTATGGGTTCCAGGTGACGAGCGGTTCATTCCAAATCACATTTGCAGAGTCTCCCGTACACAATAAACAATGTTCCTCGTAAGTACAACTCACTACGCTATCGCAGCAATAACTGTCAAGTTGTTTTTAAGATTCAAGCTTATTTCCTCAACTATTGCCTCTATCTTCTTTGCAGAGACCTTGTGCGTGGATAAAACTAATAAAAACGTTAATATCAATTATTTTATCCATTCTTTTATTTGAACTTAAGGACAACACTTCATCAACAGTTCCATAAAATTATGTACTACACCAGGCATTTTGAATAGTGTTCAGTACTCAATGTACAAACTAGCAGAGACATGTATCCAAGAGAATGGCTTCTTTATGCTCGCGAATTGCATTCTGCCGCCCTCGCGCAATTCCTACGCGGCCGACGGCCTGCGGCCCTCCTTCCGAAAGGGCCTGCGGCGCGCGGAAGGGCCTTGCCCTTTCCTTTGCCACGGGCCGCCTTTCAATCTGAGCGCGGCCGCCGCCACGGCCACCGCCCAGCCCCCCAGGCAGGCTCCTTCAAAGCACTTGCTCCCAGCAGCTGACAAAGATATTTATCGGCGAAATGCAGGCTTTATGACCTCATTTGCCGGCCTCCTACAGCCGAGGATGCGGCGGAGCCCTTCGCGCATTAGGCCGCCTAAGGGCCCCTTCCCACGGCGCGACGGCGGTGCGCTTCCGAGCAGCGCGGCTCGTAGCAGAGCATTGGTTTGAATGGAGACCTTCCCACGTGC